AAACGAAACTGTCAATGAGATTTAATATCTGACTAATATTGAAACATTTGTATAAACTCAGGTAGTGCTCATGCTGGGGGTATAGAAAAGAACTGCTAACAGAAGCTACCAGCTATTGCAAACTCAAGAGAAAAAGCATTTACACTTACCATGGCCTTAAAGCTCTTGGTTCCAATCAGCTGAAATTAACTCTTTTCCTGTCCTTGTCCCTCTCCCTCATTTTTTCCCAGAGCTAACTTTTACCACTGGAGCCAATGCATGTAAACCTGTCTAGCTTTTGTGCAACACATACAGTTCTAGTTGCTCTCCCCTGCTCCATAAGGGATAGCAATAATAGCTCTAAGTTTCATTCCCAACCAGATCTAATTAAAATTGAGCTACTAACCATATTTTTTCAGGTTAAGAATAACTAACAGAACGTTTTTATAATACTTATTAGGTACAAGAGTTGGATATTAGCATTTTCTTACCTTAAATAGCCCCCAAATAATCTTTGCATGAATAAGAGTTCCCTTTAATTTTTGTCATGAAGATTAGAATTTAGTTTTTATGGGTCAATATGTAGCACTATTTCTCAGTACACTTTAATAGTCTGTTTGCTCAAAATGAAGGAATTTGGAACTTGGTAGCCTGCAATGTTTCGCACACAGGCAGCCACTGCTTTGACACTCTACACAAGTTTTTTAAATGAAACTCAAATAGAGGACAGAGGTGACAAATAGAGCTACCTTACTGATGTGCTCAAAAACAAGACAACAGAGAGACATTATGAGCAAGAAGTAAGTCCCAACACCTTGCTTTCAAACCTGAAGAGAATTTCTACATTTAAAAAAAAAAAAAAAAAACCAAAACACAAAAACTTTGAGTCAGGGAAAGTGGATTATTCAGTTATTTCATAAATGTCACCACATAAAGGATACATTCACAGAAACAATTTTGGCTTTTGTCACTGATCTAAGAACAAAGTTTCTAGAATTTAAACCATGCTATACTTGATATGTTCATTCTAAAAATAAATTGTTCTCTTTCTGCCACTAAAGTCTGTGAAGTATTAGACCATGCAGCATGGCAGCTAACCACAAATGTATTACTGTTGCTTTTTGTTAAAAAAACTGAAGTTTAAAGGAATCCAGGACTGAGGAAGTGAAAGAATGTGTTGAGTTATAATTTCCTTGTCTCTCAGAAAAATTATGTCACTATTAGCACTCACAGAGACTTAGTTTCTTTTTCCAAGATTAATTCACTCTGTAAAGTACATATATAATCCTGTCTTATGACGGGAAACAGCTAGTCATTATTAGCACATAATCTCGGTTAGCTCTTAGATGTTTTCTTTCACTTTCAGAAAGTCAGATCCCGAATTTCCAGACTGGCTCGTTAAAACAGAGCTGTAGTGCTAATTAAAATAATTTTTAAAATGAGACCAAAGAAAAAAAAAAAAAAGAATTATTTTTTCCAGAGCCAATATTTGGTGATTTTGTAGATGAACTTCCAAAGTAAACCCAATAATGATTAATATTAAAATACAAAATAATAACTAGTCAAGGAGACTAAGAAATTCTTCTGTGAACAATGCTGTTAAGATTTGATTTTCAGCTGGTTCATAATAAGAATCAGCTGCCAATTTAAGGGAAAAAAATGTGGATTTCATTTTACAACTGACCTGAGAGCTCTCAGCTCCCTTTCAGATAAAAGTTGTTCAGTGCTGTACAAAGCATGGTCTTTAACATTAAATTTTGCACGTAGTTTTAATGTGAAACAGGGACAGAAGTGCCATTAGAACAGCAACTGTACTGCAAAAGTTTTTGAAGAAACACTCTTCTAGTGCTGTTTAAGTGCAACAATATAATGTCTCATGTCAACACTACACATTATACTGCTGCATAAACAGGTAGAAAAGGAATGGAACCTCTCCCTTGGACAGTGATTCCCACATGTTTGTAAACATTGTGGATGTAGATGACCTTAAAGAAATGCTAACAAAGTGTTTCCAAGTGAAACAGAGAGATAACAGTGATAACTGTTGCAGTGGAATATAGAAAAAAGCACCTTAATTACACTTCCCACAGAAAGTTTTGTTATTTGCCTTGGTTTAAGAATCAGAACTTGTTATTTCAGCAAACTGTGGGGACTTTAAAAAAAAAAAGTAGAATTCCTCCAACTGAAAAGCTAAAGCTAAAATAGGTTGACATTTATTTTATTTAAAATGTCCAATATTTGTTTCTGTTTTAAAGTATTCCTAATAATAGAAGACAACAAATTCACTCAACAAAGTATCTCCTATATGATTCACACTAAATTTTCTGTTAGCCTGAAATTATTACCCATGGAATCTGAATTCTCAGAACAGTTAGCAGAATTCAGGAGATCAGTAGCAGATGGTTCGTCCTGTTACGTTTAACCTCAAACCTACCATAAAATGCAGAGTGTCAAAAAGTCAATTCAACAACATACTGTACTATTGGGAACAAGGTAGCTTTCTCTAGCTTCTTTTTCAGAGGGGCATGTCCACCACTCAAGTTTTCATTGATTACAGTAATATTTTTATGGAATTACTTTTGGTTTTGAAGTCCAAAGTCTTAAAAGGAGGTAGCATAAAAAAGGAGCAGAACATGACTTTTTCAGATCAGCAGACAATGATATGCTGTACAGAGAGGATACTCAGTACTATAACCCAAGACTGACAAGAGTCTGTACCAAAGTACAACCGCTCTCACCAAAATACACCAAGATGTACATTTCTGTTTGAAACATACATCTGTTTGAAATGTATGACCTGCAATTCTGGGCAAGCACCATTGCTAGAAGTCTTTTAAAAATCTTATGCACAGAAGTGATTATTATAAACAGCAGGTGAGAGTTGAAAGATACCCTCAAAAAACCTGTATAGGGTGCTAGTTGTAAACGCACACACTCTCTTCTGTCTTCAAATCGGTATATTTTCTCCTTCAACAGTTGAAACAAAATTCATAAATACTTAAACTTGCAAAATGTCATTTAATATATAGACAGTTTAATAGCCCTGATGCAAAAAAAAAAAAAGGGGGCGGGGGACACCTAGACTTTTTTAAACTATTTTCACCCTTAGTGATTATTGTGCTATAGACCTTAATGATCCGTAGCTCAAAGCATTGTACAAATAATGAGGAAATTTTTTGTAACTCTCAAACAGATATGTCAGCTGTAGGCTAATTGTACAATTTAACACACTAGAGAGAAAAAACAGTGATAAATACAAGTCTCATTGTGATAATAATTACTACAAGATACTAGTTGTGTAAAATCAGTGAACTTTACATACTTTCTTAGCTACGAATCTTAATAGAGAGTTCTGTGCTGTAACCTAAACTCACTGCATTTTCTTTAGAAAACTGAATCCTCTTTCAGAAATAAAGCAAGCCAAGCCAACTACAAGTGGTAACACATTTAATAGTGATCACAACCCCAGTAAGAGCACAAAGACCTCCCTGTTCTTAGGCAGATGGCTACATTTGGAACCATTTGTCGTTCTGTTTGACTTAGGCTGTGACTAGAAAGATGTTAATCACGACTGGAAATGGTATTTTATAAAAATTATTACAATCACACCTATCTGAGGCTAACATATAATGTTCCACTTAAACTCACAGAATTAGACATGGAGACATCAAGTATTTATAGAAATATCTACAAACTGCAACTGCCTTTTAGTTTTTTAAAGTGTCAGTGAACTGACCTCTAGAGTAAGCGTTTCATGACAACAGGCTACCTCACACAGCCTTCTTGGGTTTTGTTTTGCATACACTAGTTTACTCTCTTGATGTTGCTTCTTCTTTGCACTTCTATCTTTATAAGAAGCACATGCTGAGAAATTTGGGCAAAATTGGTCTTAAACTTCCTACAGAGTCTGAAGAGAAAGCTTTTGCTAAATTTTTGCTGTGCCTTGAAGTCCTACATTATTAGACTTACTGTTTCACCTGTATTCATTTCCAATGCGAAATATTTTTAACAAAGGGAAAACACTGTCATAACATTCTTCAAATTCAGATACAAATGGAAAACTGGAAATTCCACGTTCTCCAAGTGCCCTAGACAAATGAAAGCTTTGCTCTAACAAGCAGTGCTGAAGCCCTTATCTTAGCATTGAGCAGAGATGAAAGAAAATAGACATGAAAAACATACAGCATGAATAGGCTGAATGTTAGCTATGTAAAAATGTTAAATAAAGCTAAAATCCTTCAGTTTTTCCTGATTGTTCTGCAACTGGCTTGCAAAAACTGAAATTAATGGAAAATGCTTATGGAGGTTCATAGACCCTCAATGCTATTTTGCCTTCATCTGAAATGTAAAAGGACAGTACCCGATTAAAAACTGCTCTGTCATCCAACCACTGGTCTTCATTGCGAGTTTCAGCGTTTCCAAGATTAAACAGAATATTACATAGAAGGAACAAAACTAAAGGATGAGATACTTATTTAGAGAACTAATCTGAAGATGAAACTTGCTTTTGTTAAGATGTTATGCTCAAAATTTTCAACTGGATGTACGAGTTAAATTGGCCGTGCCTTTGAAGCATTCACAAAGAGAAACAAACAAACAAAACTCTACATTTGCATCCATCCACTCACGTGCTTTCTCAGATTACATTCTCTGAGAAAGCAATCACGTCCTAAAAGATACTTCAGGGCAAGAACACAGATCCGCAGAATTAGGGCAAAATCCCCCAGGTCCCACAAGGCCATTTTCAAAGCAGACACGTAAAAGAAGTTAGGGAAGTGGTATCCAAAGATCATTTAGCATTGTAGAACCGCTTAAAATTCTGAAGAACTGGGTCTGCTTCAAAGCTCAAAAAAGATGAGACTGGCAAATTTAGTCATGAAACTCCTACTGTGGCAAAGAGTCCTTGGTTTGTGGATCCTTGTCCAGCTGACACTGTGGGCAACTGAACTGAAGGTGTTGGTATCCCTGACAACTTCGATAGGAAGGGGAAGGCCAGCGCAGGTTGGCTGTCCATCCTGTGCTCAAGGTCCTCCACTGTATGAATAATCTGCCTTGTTGTGCATCACGAGCTTGTTGTCTACAAAGTAGAAACTGTCCGACTGTGTCTCATATGGATGAAGGATCATCTCTCGAACTGCAGGGGGAAAAAAGACAAAAAAAATTAATTGTGCTACACAGAAGCCCTACCAAGGCAACGCTCTGCACTGGGTTTCAGTTACGTTTGCTGCTATCTGAGTAATGCTGCTAAAGTCTCAAGTGAAAAACCAAAACAGGAACCTACCCGACCCATTCATTGACAGTATCTTTCAAAGAACTCAAACATAATCCAAATATGTTAAGGCACCATACAAAGTGTAAGTGTTCTACCTAACCTCAAAACAATATCACACTAGAGTTTGGGGCTTTGTTTTGTTTTGTTTTAGAAAAAGTGATAAAACAGCGAACTCAAAAGAAATTTGTTCTGGTGTGACAATAAATAAGCAGCAGTGCATCACTGTATTTTCCACAGTCTGTAATATTAGTGCTGACATACATGATTAGGGGTTGTAAAGAATATAAGGTCACACAGATTTAGTACTGATACTATCGTGTCTTGGGATAGAGGAGAGAAAATAAAAGTTGCATTCATACTAAAACTAAAACCTCTCAAGCTATCAATATAGCACATCAAACAGAACATAATGTTTAAGTCACCCATTTATTGGACGTCTTTTTAATCCTAGTTTTTCAGTTGGTTTATAACACAATTATCTTTTTTCTCCCTGACACTGAAGCTTCGTTTTATGAATTTAAAAAAAAAAAAAAAGCAACCATCTGGTGGGTGACAAGATACATGCTACTAGAAAACAAAATCTCTATTAACACAGATACAAAACTACCTGGAAGTATTCTACCCTACCCACTTTCTACAGGCAGCTCTTAAGAAAGGGCTTCCTCAAAGCACCTTAGATTAACATCACTATGTGGTAACCCAGTAATTAAAGAGAGCTTACTGAGATCCTCAGAGAGCTGTGGGAATTCATAGATGTGCTCACAAGTATTTTTACTGCTGGGGATGCAGAACCCAAATTCAAAATCAAAACTCTTAAGCAACTGATCCCGGAAGTAGTGCCTCTCAATCATGCGGAAGTTATTAATGGGTTTGTCCCCTACTGTGAATTCCACCCTGAAAAAGAAGGATAAGATTGAAATGAGCTTTCTTCCTTAAGTAAGATTTTCAACCATTCCTGAAAGGTAGAAGACAGCTCTTCTAAAAAAAGCCAAAAATCTAAAGCAATGGTGCTAACCAAATTAACGTTTCCTCTTTTTCTTAAAGCATGCTACAGGGACACAATATAGCATTAGACATCATAGATTATGCTATATTTTGATTCTCTTTACTGAAGAAAAAAAAAATACTTGCAAGACAATTTTACAACCTTAAACTCATCTTCAGTGAAGAAAAGATCCTTCCAACTGTACTGGAAAGGCACTTCACTAGATCACTCTAGCTAGAGTGAGTAGCAGACTTATAGTAAGTTAGTAGTAATAGTGTACTTAGTAGTAATCACTACTAACTTTTCCCAAAGAAACAATACACTCTGTCACCTATATTACAGAAACAATAACTTTGGCCTAAAGCTCTACAGAAAGATACGTTAGGTGTCATGTTTTGGTGTGGCTTATTGATGGATGCAAGCAGTACTACCAGACACATCAAAGATCCTTCTGGTACCTAAAGCGTCAAACATTACTTCACCATTTCGCATGCATCTATGGATTAATGTTTTTTGGAGAACGTAATGTGGAAGGCTGCAGACACATCTTCTGAAGCTGGCAGAGCCTCTGACAAACAAGCTATAACGTGCAGAAAAAAAGTTGAAATATCTGGGTAGTCTGTCCATCCTATTTTGCCCCTTTTAGCATTAATCTCTTCAACCCCATGCCTATTCCTGAGGTAAGTAAACAAGCTAAGGGGATAGAGAAAGCAAGGCATCCAGCAGCAATGTTTGGAGATCCTTATAATAACAAAAGATCCCTATTAAATCAACTTCCTGACAGGATCAACAAGCAAGAGCCACTTTTTACAAGATTCAGTTGTTTCCTGTGCTAGAAGTAGCAGCACAGGAGCAATTACTTACGTAGCTCCCACTTGCCGAAGTCTAAGAAAAGCTGGGGTAAACTGATAGCGTACAAACCGTCCGGCATTGGGGTCAACATCCTTCTTGTCATTGTGTTCACGTTCTGGAAAAACACAAAGTAAAGCTCTGTCACAGTCATCTGAGAAACAGAAACCCAGTGAAAAATACTTGCAATCATACATTATCGAGTCATATAAGCCACGAAACTACTCTGAGAAAGCCTGATGATGTGCTGCTCTCTTCGTATCCTCTCTAAGGCGTCCACTACTGGTCACAGAGTATTGCAAGATGGTCCTTTGGTTTGATACACTTTGCGTCTTCTGAGGTGACTTACTGCTCCTACCTCTGATTCAGGATTGCAGTGTGACTGAACAAGCCATTTCACCTGAGCATGTCTGGTTGGCAATCTCTAAGCTATAGAAAACTTCCTCTCACCAGCAGAGAGATGGGGAAGATTTAAAGGAGTGCTTGATCAGGAAAAGAACAGTTGCCCTGGGTTTTTAGTACCACTGGCAACAGGTAACTCTTAGATGGTTACAAGTAACACCTAAAAATTATGAAGGGAAAAAAAAAAATCTAATTTTCAGTTCGTCTAATCTGCACAATTGACAAAGTTTCTCCCTTTTGGAAATACTGTTTTCTTTCCTGACTCCTGTGTGAAAGATGTTAGGCGAACAGTTAAACTATGTACAGGGGGACTCTAGCTGATGAACAGCCAAGAAACGAACACACGGTGACCTCCTCCTCCTTCTTTGCTTCTGTTTACAACATCCATCTGTCCCTTCTCATCACAGATGGCAATCATGATAATACAGCAGCAACAAGTTCTGTTCACTGTGTTGGTACAAGGGGACACCTCAATAGTATTTCTGCTGCAAGCTGGGACTCTGGCTCTCTTGCAGTTGACAGCATCTCCTATCTTTAGGAAATGTATTGAGTAAAAGGAGTGGGAAAAGGCAAAAGGAAGCAGACATCAGCATTTGTTTGTTCGTGAAAACAGTATTTTGTGTGTGCACTCACCTGAAGCTGCTGGTTTGGTAATTTCAAACAAGACTGTGCCAGATTCCATGTCCCGGATTTTGAACCTGGTGAAGTCTATCTTGTAAACATTTTCCTCTGGAGTGCACAAATAATCTGCAGAGGAAAGCAAATTTAAATGAAGGCTGCACAGAATTACCAGGTATTTCTGGCTATTCTTTGGAGGTCACAACCAGCAGTGAAAGCAGCCCAAATGCATCTCCACTACTACCCTCGTTTTAATCCAAAACTGATGGCTAGGAAGACAGTCCCAGTTCTGAATGCTCACACTGTCCTGCCGGGACAGGACAGGGAAAAGGCTTCTCTTCTCCAGCACTCGGAGATCATCACCTTTTTCCAACCCTGTGCCAGCATCTTCTGCATCCATTTCCCCTCAAGGTATTAAGAATAGTCAGCACCTCCACCAAATCCTAGCCTTTTCAGTGTAAGAGGCTTTGCCTGTTTTAAAAACTGCCCTCTGGGAAAATGCAAGTGCTAAGCAGCTTTGTGAGCACTAAGCTGCCTGCACTTAACTGCAACAGGAGTGTCCTCCCTTGTGCCACCTCCCCTATCTCCAGCCCTCTGTAGACAAAGGATGGCCTCTTCTCCCCACCAATGCTTGTCCTGCGCAAGGACTCTTTTTTTTCCTCAGCACTGAAAATGGTGTTGAAGCCTCTCCCTGTGTCAGGAAAACAGTCTGGGAACAGAGCCCTTCCCTGATTCCACCAGAGTTGGTATCTTTGGGAGAAAGTCATTGTTTCTGGCTTCGGTTTTGCTGTGCCTCGAGACAGCTTTCTGGCCTGGGTATCAGCCTCCTCTCTTTGGAAAGAGCAGCAGTGCTTCCTTTTCACTGCACGTGTAAGCACAGACTGAAAGCAGCTCCAATAACTTACTTTATCCTGATAAATCTAAATAAATATTGTATGTATACAAGCCAGGTTAGCTTTTGAACAACAGCGCATTTGCATGTTCTAGGAGACTTGTTTTGGAGGTTCTAAAGTGAAAGTAATACTTTAACATTCTAATTCTAAGCCCTTTCTCGGCTACTAATTTCTGCTG